ATGGAGGGGATATGCTAATGGTGTAGATTTTTAACTTGGATAGTGCATTTGTTCCAGGTAAGTTCATTTACTTTACATGTTTATTGTTAGTGAGACGGATGCTTCTTTCAGAATCAAGACGAGGATCACGCTACTCCTTTCATGACCTTGACATTTCTCTGTGTAATATCTAAGGGTGGATTTAACGTTTAGAACATTTCCACAGACTGCTTGTTGAGTCTAATTCCAATAAAAATTGCCTCGAGGGTCATGTTGAGATGTGTTTTCTTGCCTTCTGGTAGAAGATTTTAGGAAGGTTGTGTAGTACTTTCCTTGCCAAGGCTCCAATAAAATGGTTATTTGTTTTTCAAGTATTGTTTTGAATAAGAGATGAACAGTTTTGACCTTTCAAAAGTGAAACATTTACTGTTTTTAGGTTGTGTAAAAAATGTGTCTTGTCTTGGCAGGTGTGTTTGACCGATGCTAGTAACAATTGATGGATGCCGATGATTAGATGTTGGTTAGTTCAGGAATATAAGGCAAGGACAAGTGGAAGGGTCATACTCAATAATCAGTAAATAGGGAATATAAGGCAAGGACAAGTGGAAGGGTCATACTCAATAATCAGTAATGTTTACATTCTGCAGGCAGTAATATTTTTGACAAACATGAGGTGAATTGTTTATTTTTCTGTCTTCTGCTCTGTTAAGTTTTTACACTGTTTGGGACACTGGGGTTCCATGTTGTCAGTGGACAGAATTCTGATTTTCAGGATTTCTGAGCTTGAATCCCAGGTTTGTGTTGATCATGGAGGAGATTCTACCCTTGTCGATGTCAAACATCAATTTTTGGGCGTTGGGGTAGCCTAGTGGTTAAAGTGTTCGCTCGTCTCGTCGAAACCCAGGTTCGATTCCCCTCATGGATACAATGTGTGAAGCCCATTTCTGGTGTCCTCCGCTGTGATATTGCAGGAATGTTGCTAAAAGCAGCATAAATTAAGCTCACTCACTCATACATCAGTTTCACCCAAGTTGTAAATGTTTAAGACCTTTGCCTCTACAAATGCCCATTTCTGGAGTCTCCTGTCATGATATTCCTGAAATATTGCTAAAAGTGGCATAAAACTAAACTCACTCACTCATCTCTACGAACTCTCTCCTCCTGTCAAGCTGACATGTCACGATATAGCTGAAATACTGTTGATAGACACTTAAAACTCCATTACCTCTGCAGCTTGTGTTTCACGACACAGCTTTGACCTCAGTGTTAAACAAGGTAGTATAAAGTGCCCAGTGGGTCGAGGTACAAGTTTCTCTTCAGTCACTTGTTCTTTCTCGACTAGTGACAAAAAGTAAGTTGTTATTTTCACTGTGAAGTATATCATAGTCGTTTTATGGCAAACCTTTACGATAAAATATCAACCAGTTTTTACCTTTACAAGAGTGTTTTATTACGTGAGTCGGTAAAACCCGTCACGATCCTCATTAAGGTTTTCTTTCTTCTGAGCATTTGTAGAGATTTTATTATGGCCTGAAACTTGTTTACCTACAAAACTTCAAGTTATGATCCTCAGGGGGGGTTTATGTTTCAGTCTTATGTCTTTTACGTATGTATTTGTTTTGTAAAGAAAACCTGAGATGTTTGTAACTTGTATTCATGGCTGTTTCTCCCGAATGATTTTGATGAAGATGCTGTAATGTGGAAATTTGTTCATGGTCACGATTTCAACATTTAAATTTAAATAGCTTTTGAAAAAAACAAATGATAAGTATCTGAAAAACAGATTATTATTTGATGTGACTAAATCATGCTTTTCTGATTTTGCAATTAGTGAGAACCTTGTTTTTGAAGCTTCACTTGTGAGGTATACTCGAGGTCGTTATTTGGGTTCCATAGGGATGTTTGTTGCTAATTGCGACCATGTTTATCTGTTTCTGTGAGATGTGTCTAGCCAATGTCTGGCCCCGCCTGGCCTGAGGTCATCAGGGACGTGTGGCTGGCTGGACAGACAGCTGGTCCTGCTGTTGATAACTGCTCATATGTTTGTGTGGTAGGGGAGGACACAGTCACATTGTGTCGACTTTGATGTTCTTTCACTTGAAAACTGGGTACTTTTTAGAAAGTTCTGACACCTTGATGTACGGAAGAGTGGAAGGTTGGCTGGTGGTTCAATTACTTGGCTGCGTCATACCTTCAGATGGAACTTGTTCAGTCTCTGCCAAAAGCTTTTATTTCTACTTGTCTGAACTTGTACTGGCATTATTTTCAGTAGATTTTAGTCTTGTATATGGACTAGCATAATCTTATGTTAGGAGACAAGAAATTTTATTGGGCTCGTCTTTCGGTCTGCTTAGGTCGCGGACAGCTTACTCTTCCAGGCACTAAAATGAAAGAAGAACATGTTTCATAAGTGAATTTATTTTACATTAAACCCATTTCAGCTCATCTCACCATTTGAATCTGTACGTCTGTGTTCAAACTGAAAACTTGCCTTGCCTTGAAATAATATTTGAATCTGGAACCAAATTAAGGGCTCTGATGATCCCTCGACTTTAATGCCAGTTTGTAATTGCTGTATTTTGCAGTGTGTGTGCATCGAGATACAGATATACCACTGACAGAGATGCTGAAGTCTAAAACTGTTTCCTTGTGATAGTCGGCTGTCAAAGCCTCCTTGTTTGTGGTTGATATCAATGTGAACATTTCACCAGGTGTGTTCCAGTTTACATCAGTTGTGTTGAATCTGGTTGGGGTGAAGTGGGCAGTTGTGTTGAATTTGGTTGGGGTGAGGTTGGCAGTTGTGTTGAATCTGGTTGGGGTGAGGTTGGCAGTTGTGTTGAAGTTGTGTTGAATCTGGTTGGGGTGAGGTTGGCAGTTGTCTTGAATCTGGTTGGGGTGAAGTTGGCAGTTGTGTTGAATCTGGTTGGGGTGAGGTTGGAGTTGTGTTGAATCTGGTTGGGGTGAGGTTGGCAATTGTGTTGAATCTGGTTGGGGTGAAGTTGGCAGTTGTGTTGAATCTGGTTGGGGTGAAGTTGGCAGTTGTGTTGAATTTGGTTGGGGGGAGGTTGGCAGTTGTGTTGAATCTGGTTGGGGTGAGGTTGGCAGTTGTGTTGATTATGATTATGTCACCTTAGTGACAACTGCTTGTTCACAAATATACTGAGTGATGATGTATGCTACATGAGGTCAGTTATGGATGTACCATCAGTCAGTTGCACTGGAACAGTTGCTGATGAGCATATGATTTTAATGTAATTGAGGATAAAAAAATTGAAAAGGGGATTTTCAATTCTTATGAAAATGAAGGGGAAACTTTGCGAATATTGTCTAGGTCATGGTGAATCATTTTCACTGAGTTTGAAGAGGGTTCAAGAGCATTTGTTTGGGGCATACTTGAGTTCTAAAGGGCTCCCATAATCATATGTATGTAATTTGTTAATGCCTTTCGGCACTACTGCTAGAGTGCATGTACTTTAAAATTTGAAGAACTTCCATTCTGTTTGATTTATTGTTACACTGCCATCTGTACTGAATAATAGTGAGGGGCTATCAGGTGGCATAGTGGTTAAGCCTTTGCTCGTCACGGCAAAGTTCCAGGTTTGATCCCCCACATGGGTACAATGTAAGCGCATTTCTGTGATTTTTTCTTTAATATTGCTAAATGCAGCATAAAACTAAGCTCACTGATTATGATGGGAAATTAATATTAACACAGGTGCTGGGACATTTGAGGCTTGCTCCATTTTTATTGAGTCTAGTGACCCCTAAATATGAAACTAAGTGTCCAGGTTATGATCACTGGAGGGGATTTTTGTTTGTATTATGAAATGGTCACATGAGTCTCCAGACTGAGACGTCGACACCACTGCGCTTTGACTGCCAGTATCAGTAGATCGGTAACTGGCCTACTCTGTATGATATGCATCACAATACATCATGATACATTATAAGTTGTTTGCTGTATCGAGGGGGACATGGGCTGATGAATACCCTTGATGTTTGTTTATGTTCCCTGAGCCCCAGGGACGAAGGGAACATAAAAAAAACATCGATGGTACATCAACCCATGGGCCCCGAGGGACCTGTGAACAACGTATTTATCTTACCAAATACCTCAATGGTAATTTTGAACTGTTTGAAGCACGGGTATCGGATCATAGTATGGAGTACCAGACGACAAGAAAAACAAATTTAGAGTTATTCGCAAAACATCAGTAATTTCCGTACATCATTTGTGATTCAATGTTTATCGAGATAAAGAATTACTACTACGAAGTACCAGATGAGTTCGGCATTCCCAGTGGGGTACCAAATGAGTTCAGGCATTCCCAGCGGGTACATAGAAAATGTGAAACTCGCTTGTAAGCTAGAGGTTACATTGAAAATTATAGAGAGCAGTGGGAAAATTAATGTGGTTCAGGGACTGTCAGCCAATCAGAAAACGACATTTATGTGTGAGGCAAGATAAAGGTCGTGATACAATTCTTATCACGATAAACATAATCATATCATGTGGAAACTTCTTGTGTATAAATATTTCAGATATGGTTCCGATGAAAAAGCTAACTGTAGATGATTGTCTGTCACAACTGTTTGGTTATTTTTGGTTTAATTGAAATGATTCCAGTTCAGTTTGTGACATTTGACTGACAAAATATGAGATGAAGATTGACAATGAAGGAGTAGTAAATAATTAGCATATGTATCATCTTGCATACACAAGTCAACACATTGTATCAAATTGTTGCATGAAAACTTACAGTGCACTGGATGTATTCTCTGGCCCTAGCTGGTTGTGTGTTGGCATTTGAATACTATGGCATCTTGAGAAGTGTATCATTTTAAAACCATTTTAATGCACATAGAGATTTTTTCTGGGTTACATTAAAAGAAGATGTAACCCAGAAAAAATCTCTATGTTCATCAAATATCATCTTCTAAAATGCCAATCAAGCATTTTAATGCAGTTTGTGACACATTGAGAGATTGTTGTTGATGTTGAACGTCTTGTTGTCCGACAGGGAGGTGCCATGCGTAACTCACAGGGCGACATTGGTATCCGCTACGGCCTGGAACCCGATGTCTCCAACACGGACATGAAGCAGAAGATGGAAGATGTCCGGGAGAACCTCAAGAAGGAGATCCGCAAAGAAATGAAGATAAAGGAAGGAGCGGAAAAATTGAAGGAAGTGTCCACAGACAAACGGAGTCTGTCCAACGTCAACAGTATTGTGAAGAAGGCCAACAGCAAGCTGCAGGTGCTCCAAAAGGAACTGCAAGATGTCAACGCTCATCTGATGATGATCAACACAGGATATGATACTCCTGCAGGTAAGATAGACATGTGGAAGTATGGAAGCAACTTCAGTATGTATGACTGTTCAGTATGTATGCTGACAGAAGGCCAGATGTGGTTCAGATTAAATGTTCTGGTGTTCCCCACCGTGATATTGCTGTAATATTGCTTAAAGCTCGTAAAACTAAACTATGTCACTCATTCACTCAAATTAAATGCTGCTCAGTTTAGGAATCCTTGAATGCTGATGATTTTTTGGATCAATCTCTTTTCTTTCATTTTTAGTCTAAGGACCTTAACATTTCAGCTTTTAGGGTGATGATTTAAGTTGTTTTAATGGACACTGCCACAATCCAGGTGAGAATAGGTCCCCAACGCTCCTTGCTTGCCTATTGTGACAATAGGCAATATAGATGAGGATCCAGTGGTCACAATATCGTACCGAGTGATGTGTACTACAATACAGTGTGGGTTATTGTGCATGCTTCAAGTACTGGTTTATGTGTGTATGTGTATGTAGACTGAAGCTGGTTTTATAGTGCTAGCCTACTGAGATACCATGCCGCAGTGAAGCGTGAATACCCCACTCAGACACATTATACTGACTCCGAGCCGACCAGTCCTTGTTGTACCCATTAATGCCGAGCGCCAGGCAGGGACCAACAAGTACCATATTTAAACGTCTTTTGGTATGACGCGGACGGGGATCGAACCCGCGACCTTCCGCTCTCCAGGCGGACGCTCTAACCACTACACCACGGAGGCGGTCTGAAGAGATGGGGACACCTCAATAGAAAGTGGAGCGGTCTGGGTAGCTTGATGGTTACAGCACCCGCTCGTTACACTGAGGACCCGGGGTTTTTTTCCCACTTGGGTACAATGTGTGAAGCCCATTTCTCATGTTAATTTTGTGCATTTGGCGAGATAATCTCTAATTCCAAGTTTAGAGTAGGTGGTTCTTTACATAACATTGCATATTATGAAAGATAAGGAAGACAAAATCCTACTGAAATGTACATGGGTGTCCTCGCCGATGCCACCCTATTGCTCAGATGACATATTGTGATCAGTGTTGGATATGAACAATGGATGCATCAAGTCAACAGTGAAGCACTCTGACATCATGTGGCTTCTATTGACCAGCCCGCACTGAGAATCAATAGAATGCACATATGTAAATATGGCAAGGTATTACACAATCTTTCTCTACTTGTGGCTACTATTGATGGAATGTGTGGTGTGTTTGCAGACTGTATGTCACCAGAGAAGGTGGGGAACTCGGACGATGGAGACACAAAGAACCAGCGTCTGACCTACCTGCAGAAACAGCTCAACATAGAACTTAAGGTAAGCATCTGACAGAACACTTGCTGGAGCTGATACACTGGCTTGACTTGTGATACACTGGCTTGACTGTGATGCACTGGCTTGACTTGTGATGCACTGGCTTGACATGTGATGCACTGGCTTGACTTGTGATACACTGGCTTGACTTGTGACACACTGGCTTGACTTATGACACTGGCTTGACGTGTGATGCACTGGCTTGACTTGTGATACTGGCTTGACTTGTGATGAACTGGCTTGACTTGTGACACACTGGCTTGACTTGTGACACACTGGCTTGACTTGTGACACACTGGCTTGACTTGTGACACACCGGCTTGACTTGTGACACACCGGCTTGACTTGTTATACTCTGGCTTGACTTGTGACACGCTGGTTTGACTTGTGATACACTTGTTTGACTTGTGATACACTGGCTTGACTTGTGACACTGGCTTGACTTGTGATACACTGCTTTGACTTGTGACACACTGGCTTGACTTGTGATACTGACTTGACTTGTGATACACTGGCTTGACTTGTGAAACACTGGCTTGACTTGTGACACACTGACTTGATTTGTGATACACTGGCTTGACTTGTGACAACACACAGGCTCCAATCAGCATTGATGTGGTGTAATGTCATGTAACATATACAATTTAGAAATACAAAGTGTCTCACTTTCCTGGGTCTCGTTCCACATAGCAACCTTAGCGCTGCGACTATCGTAAGTCTATGTTAAGGTATGGTAGTTACGATCTCATTTACGCTAAGATCATTGTGTGGAACAGGGCCCTGATCTTGCGCTCAGATCTTTATGTGCTCAGATCTCTATGTGCTCAAACCTCTCTAAGACTATTGTAAATATATGTAAAGTGGGCAAGTGCTGTAGCTGATGTGACCATGTTGAGGTAAGAGAATTAAATCACCTTAGTACTAAGATCCCTTTGTGCAGTGGCTCCCTGGACCCATTGGGACAAAGCTGAGTATTGTCACTGTATAATCGGTTCTACAATACATACAAACTTGTTAACGCAGTTAACTCAGGTATTCATTTTATTCTAAAAATGTATGTATTTTCATTCACACTTTAACATGTTGCGTATGTTTTAGGATTTGAGTTTGGATGATAATTGAAAAGTGACGAGGAACAAACATGTAATACTGACACGATACAGCCTGTGCCTACAAACTGGATATTTAGCCCTTGGCATTATTTTCCGTAGATTGTATGCGCTATTCACCATCATTAGCTGAGGTTAGTAGACCGAACAGAATTTTGCTTGAGTCGGGTTTCCGACAAGTGGCTATAGTTACCGACTGCAGCTACACCATTTCATCAGTGTTCCAGCTCCTTGCCTGGTCACTGCGTACAAGATGCCATTAGCAATGTCTGTCTGGGCAGTCTATCACATAATAGACTTGGCATGTTTATCGAAAATGATCCCACGCTTTTTTCTCGTGTGGGAGGAAATTAATTAGCTTTGTCTGGAGTACTATCCAATTTGTTCGAGTCTCTAGTGTTTAATGACAGACACTCTGTCCTTAGATTCAGCTGAAATATGCCTTGAAAAAGACAGGCAGAGTGAAATGGACGACAGTGATAGTGAAATTGACGACAGTGATAGTGAAATTTACGACAGTGATACTGAAATTCATTACATTAATTGACACCTGTTCTCCCGAAAATAACAAGCCTTTGTAGTTATAGGAGAACAAAGGCATACCACCATATATCCTGTGATATATATCACACAGCCCGGACTGTAATGGACGTTGTATGCAGGCATGCTCTGTCGACTCTCTTCTTGCTGCTTGATAGGCTACAGTTTATTGTCTGGATTTAATTGGCAGGATGATATGAGATGTACTTCTTTAGCCAAGTTTTTGTTTCCATGGTTACATGGTAATGTAATATGTAGTTAGTGGTTTTCTTTCCAGACTGGTTTGTCTCAAGTATTCTTTGTTGCTTTCATTGATAATAAAAATCGTTATGAACTTTTTGCGTATGTTAAATCTCAAAATCTTCATCATCATCATCATCATCATCATCATCATCATCAGTGAATGTTTTGAATTTCTTGATACTGTCTTTTTGAGTTGAGGTACTTTTCCGATTTAGTAAACATTCATGTCCGAAATTGGCACCTCTGCTTTGGGGAAGTGATAAAGGCGTAACAGTTAATGAAGGGTGAGGGATAGTGGCTGTTGATGTCTTGTGGAGCTCCCTGTTTATGTGGGACTGTGAGATGAGAGGAGCCAAAGTTGAATGTCATCAGTTTTATGACTGACATAAAAGTGTTGAACTGATATATGAAATTGGGAGTGATGTTTACAATGTTATCTCTTGACACACACATGGACTGGTTTAAGGATGTTTGTTTACAAGATGTTGTAGTTTTTTATGACAGTGAGAGGTACATATTTGGGCCAACCACTGCATTCTTGAGGTGGGTGGGGAGAGGATTGCCTCATTTCTAATTGAACAAAACATTGCTTTGCTTAAAAACATGGCAGATAGAATTGTTTGCCTCAAGAAAATCCTTTTTAAGTCTTGCTTCATACAACCTTGAGGGCAGTGGGTTGCCTAGTGGTTAAAGCGTTTGCTCGTCACCCTGAAGACCCAGGTTCGATTCCCCACATGGGTACAGTGTGTGAAGGCTATTTCTGTTGTCCCCCACTGTGATATTGCTGGAATATTGCTAAAAGTAGCAAAAAAACTCACTCACTCACTCACTCACTCACAACAGTGAATGTCTGGTGCCAGTATCACAACAGGCTCTCCTGTTACATGAACCTTCCATGCCCAGATGGAGATGAAATACTGTAAAGAAACAAGCTTAACTTTCATTGCTCAGTGGCAACATGCAAAGATTGATTTAAAATATATTTCTGCTTCCATTTCCTTCCTCCCTTTCCTCCTTACGCCTCTTGTTCCCCACCGTCTCCTCTCTTTCCCTCTACCCCCTCTTCCGCGAATGAAACTGAAATGCACACACTAACCATCCAAAACATATTGCACAGACACAAACACTAACCAATACTTGTACACATTAACATTGAAAGACAAATGCGCTCAAAAACACTAACACTAACATAGTCTATTGCTAACACACAATAAGACAAACCACAATATAATAACACACACTATACACACACACATGCACATGCATGCACGCACACACGCTCACACTGAAGTGCTGGCATGCACACAGGCACATACAAAAACACACACAAACACAGACATACGCAAGCACATACGTCTGTCCAGAAAGTAAAAGTGAAAACCCTTCTCACTCATCACAGTTGTTTACGCTCCGATTGTGTCTCATAATCAACATTCTCCAAAAGAACTTCACCATGCTTCCAAATTACCCCCCCATTAACTTTACAGTCACCTGAAGTATTTTGTATTTGTAATCAAGTCGTTATCACTGCGTTCAAAGAAGTAATTGCTTACAAATGCCTCAAACCTCTCAACCGACCAGCCCTAAAATTCCAGTTGCATCTATCGCAACACCTTGCCAAGAAAGCATCATTATAAAACCTGCACATGTCATAAATGAGAAATTGAGTTGGAGATACGCGGTAAAGGATCGTGCGTGCTTGTTGGCAGTGGCGGCCTGTGTTAGACAAGGCTTCAGTAATGGGAACGCATAATTGTTTGGGGAAGGCATGTGTTGCTTAATTTCATAGATAATAACTTACAAATCTGGTTGGAATAGTCAGAGGCGAGCGACACAAAAATGGTTGTTGAGTTGTCTGTTGCCAGAGCATTTGTTGGTGTTCCCCCGGAAGATTATCCTGAAGAGGGAAAGGAGGCTTCACATGGGGAGAGTTCACATTTGTTGAAATTTAAATTTTGGTTTTAATTTTTTTACTGCGATTAGTTTTGTGGTTGCCTGTGACCATCGTCCTGTTGAACGTTTATAGGGTGATTCATGTTAGTTGCCAGTATTAACATGTTGACCCCTGTCAGTAATTGGAGAATTTGTTGCCAGTATTTAACATGTTGGTGCCAATCAGGTGATTAAAAAATTGGTTGCCAGCATTTAACCTGAAGGTCCCTGTCAGTGATTGGAGAATTGGTTGCCAGTATTTAACATGAAGGTCCCTGTCAGTGATTGGAGAATTGGTTGCCAGTATTTAACATGAAGGTCCCTGTCAGTGATTGGAGAATTGGTTGCCAGTATTTAACATGTTGGTCCCTGTCAGTGATTGGAGAATTGGTTGCCAGTATTTAACCTGAAGGTCCCTGTCAGTGACTGGAGAATTGGTTGCCAGTATTTAACCTGAAGGTCCCTGTCAGTGATTGGAGAATTGGTTGCCAGTATTTAACCTGAAGGTCCCTGTCAGTGATTGGAGAATTGGTTGCCAGTATTTAACATGTTGCAGAGGCCCAGATAAGCTGCGTATCCGGGTAAAATACGCATAGAAAATTTCCAATTACACATTGAAAAATAATTGTTGCATACCAATTACGCAATTAAAGTGTTAGATACGCAAAAAGTTTCAAACAAATGCGTACGGAATATATTTATAAAAATCGCTTGCGTAATGAAAAAGACATTGATTACTATCAAGTTGTACTGTCAGTATAGGATGAATGATTTTTTATTAAATCATTTCCATTATATTTAAGTCTTCGATTAAGGTTTTGATTAGGTATGACCTAAGGCAGATCATACCTGCTTAGTAAACTTATTCAAGGACATAATACTTAGGTGAGTAATTTTTTAACGACTGAAATACGCACATATTTGAAACCAGTGGGTAACGGAAAAGGAAATACCCACTCAACATTCATAATACCCACTCCAAAAAAGTACAGTGGGTACAGTACCCACATGAGCTAAATCTTATCTGGGGCTCTGATGTTGGCCCCCGTCAGTAATTGGAGAATTTGTTGCCAGTATTTAACCTGTTGACCTCCGTCAGTAATTGGAGAATTTGTTGCCAGTATTTAACATGTTGGTCCCAGTCGGGTGATTCAAAAATTGGTTGCCAGCATTTAACCTGTTGACCCCCGTCAGTAATTGAAGAATTTGTTGCCAGTATTTAACATGTTGGTTCAGTTGATTGGAGAATTTGTTGCCAGTATTTAAAATGTTGGTTCAGGTGATTGGAGAATTGGTTGCCAGAATTTAACATGTTGGTTCAGGTGATTGAAGAATTAATTGCCAGTGTTTACTGGCGCAAGGTTCATTCAGGTGATTAGAACTTGCAAGGTTACAGGTGATGGAGAAGAGAATGAATGATGGGATTCCATTTGCAAGCCTCCCAGATTGACCCATGCCAGGTGATGGAGAACTGGCTGCAAGGATCCCATACTGACCCATGCCAGGTGATGGAGAACTGGCTGCAAGGATCCCATATTGACCCATGCCAGGTGATGGAGAACTGGCTGCAAGGATCCCATATTGACCCATGCCAGGTGATGGAGAACTGGCTGCAAGGATCCCATATTGACCCATGCCAGGTAATGGAGAACTGGCTGCAAGGATCCCATATTGACCCATGCCAGGTGATGGAGAACTGGCTGCAAGGATCCCATGGTGATGGAGAACTGGCTGCAAGGATCCCATGGTGATGGAGAACTTGCTGCAAGGATCCCAGATTGATCCTCATGGATGATAGGAGAACTAGTAGCCAGCATGTTGATCAGAACAGACAAATGGTTGCTTGTAGACTAGTGTGGCCCATGTAGACCCTCCCTTCCCATGATAGTAACCACCTGATATCCAGATAGATACAGGTCTTTTAGAAACATGCCTGCTTGTATTTGTAAATCCTACTTTTTGAGATGTTCTTGTGAAGTGTATAAGCTGGAATTAGAATTTAATGTTTATATTTTGTGAACAGGTTCTGTGTGTGGGAGATGTTCTCTGTCGTTAGTTATGTCATCTGATCGCACTCTGTTTATGAGCGAGACAGAGAACAACGCCAGTGTAGTTGCCTCCATGTCTGTTGCTGAAGTCAATGTAAACACATCTTTGATTTCCAGTCAGCTTGATTATCTTGCTGTGAGAATTACACCCAGTGTTTTCCTGGAGACTGTAACTCTTTTTTATTTGAATTGTAAGCCTTGTGTACCTCATGGTAATTTCGTGGTGAACTGCGGCTTTGTTGGGAGGAAAAGTGTTGACTTTCACAAAGTTGTAAATGTTTAAACGTTTAAACCATCACAACTTTAGGTCTCCTTATCAACATTAAGCTGGCAAAGTATCGTGTAAAGGAAATACTTGAATTTAGGACAGAATAACCATAAAAACACAAGTTTGATACTTGTAACTGTAAACAGCACAAAAATGTAGGGTTGAGCTGACTATTGCTCCATCGTGATGACCTGATTGTTTTTTCTTCATGATGATCTGACTTTTCTTCTTCGTGATGACCTAACTGTTCCTTCTTTGTGAGGGGCGGTGGGGTAGCCTAGTGGTTAAAGTGTTGGCTCATCATGCCGAAGACCCGGGTTTGAATCCCCACATGGGTACAATGTGTGAAACCCATTTCTGGTCTCCCATGATGTCTCTGGTGTTCTGATATTGCTGTTGTTGCTGGAATATTGCTAAAAGCGGCGTAAAACTAAGCTCAGTCAGTCAATCAATCTTCTTCGTGATGATGTGACTGTTTCTTCTTCATGATGACCTGACTGTTTCTTCTTAGTGATGACCTGACTGTTTCTTCTTCGTGATGACCTGACTGTTTCTTCTTAGTGATGACCTGACATTAGCTTCTTCATGGTGACCTGACTTAAGCTTCTTCGTGTTGACCTGACTGTTTCTTCTTTGTGATGACCTGACTTTAGTTTTTTCGTGTTGACCTGACTGTTTCTTCTTCATGATGACCTGACTGTTTTTCTTTGTGATGACCTGACTATTATTGTTTTGCTGTATTAACTTCCAATATTTTGTGTTGACCAGACCTGTTGTGCTGACCTTGTGAGCTGACCTGCCTATTGCTGTGTTGATGTGACCTGTGTGTTGTGAGCTAAACCATGTTGTTATGTTGTGAGCTGACCTGTGTGTTGTGAGCTGACCTGTCTGTTGTTTTGTGTTAAGGTGAAGCAGGGAGCGGAGAACATGCTGACAATGTACAGCCAGGGGTCACGGGACAAGAAGCTCCTGGCTGAGGCACAGCAGATGTTGGAGGATGCCAAGGTGAAGACGGAGTTCATCAGGATGCAGATCCTTAAACTGTCACAGGACCAGGACCAGTCAGATGGTGAGTAGCATGTGATGGCTGATTGCAGCAGCTGGACCGACTCTGTACGACAGGAAGACAAACACTGACACAGATACACAGAAGGCCACACAAAAACAGACACATCATGTTATATGAAAACTTTCAGGCACTTCAGACATTGCTGAGGCATGTGCCGCTAAACTTCCTATTTCTGAACATTTTCCTTTAGTTTGTATTTGAGAATCAGACTCTCATATGCCGATTTGAATGCTTCAATCCCTTGTATCCAGAAGTTAGAGAATTTACCTGATGTGACCAATAAAGGTGCCCTCTGATCTTCACTTAGAGAGGCATTGTATTGGAATGAAAGACTTTACGCGTAAGTCCAATACAAGTCTGTGAAGGCAAGTAGGTCCCTGTGGACCTAACTCATCATGGAACCCAAGAAGGTTCTCCTCAGATGGGGCAGAAGGACCACTTTTGATTTGTGCTTTTATTACTGTTTCAGGTCAGTGTCAGACATTGTCTCCGCTTGAAATGAGAATTGAAGAACTGCGGCATCATCTACGAATTGAATCAGCTGTCACAGAGGGAGCCAAAAATGTGATAAGGATTTTACAGAACTCTAAATCAGAGGACAAGAAGGCCTTGAAAGAGGTGAGAGAATAACAAACAAGTAATTTGGAAATTACTCAGCATCAGAAGATGAACTGGTGAAAAGGTAGACTTTTTAATGTTATCAACAGAAGATGTTTTCTTGAAAGCTGAACTATCTTCACCATTTGTGCATACCAGTAATCCAGAAAAAGTGTGCCAAGATGAGAATAAGCCCCTTGCACTTGAACGTTTGTTGAGAGACTGGGTTTGATGGGTCTCGGTGACTACATGGAATCATTCCTTGATGGGTTGCTCATTATATCAACCACTGGTTTGTTTTTCCCAGTCCAGACTTCATTGTTCACCTGCTATCAAATACGGTTGCTATGTTTGTGGTTGGTGTTCATCAACAGTCAGTCCCCAACTCAAGAAGAAGTGGGCATTTTATGACTACTTCGTTCAGTTCATATAGTTTTTGATCGGATGTGGGAATCTACTGTAAAATGGCCTCGATCTGGCTGATAATAGTCTTTGGACGGTCTTATTATTCATTATTTCAGGTTGGTTGGGTAGTCTTCTGGTTAAAGAGTTCCCGCTAAAGGCCCTGATTCAGTGACCCACATGGGTAAAATGTGTGGACTCTTCCTTGTGATATGACTGAAATGTTGCAAAAATGAACTCAACTCACTGATCATTTCAGCTGTTGAATAATCTTGTATTTGATTTCTAATATGTGTCCTGTAAAACAATGTAAGCCATTACTGTATGGATCAATCTTATGCTGTCCCCAGATGTATAATTATTGGAATATTACTTAAGATGTGAAAACCCTTCACTCTTTCTTTCTTGTATTTCTACATTTATTCACAATCAGCTGTTCCACAGAGTTATTATCGGTTGAACCTTTTGAACTGTTGAAAATCAAGTCTACCCGTATTGCCTCCTCCAGCAGAGATGCCAACCCATACGATTTTATTGTATTTGTTACCAAAAAAAACCCACACAATATACGACTACGATAGCAGTAACAATATACGATTTTTTTTAAAAAATGCATAAAATTTAATTTTCAAATAGCATACGTACCATACACAATAAATTTCGATCACATTTATTCAGTATCAAGCTATATGTGGATACTTGCTAATGATTTAGGCAGGTACAACATTATTTAGACTATTACTCTTAGACTATATATTTACATTTTTTATTTAATATGAAAATTCTTTGGAAAAGTTCATGCTAATTTTGGCCAACAAATACTAATTTTGAATCAGTTTTTGGCCAAAATACTAATTGGGCTAAATTAGGGTTGGCATCTCTGCCCGAGGTCTGACACCTGACCCAATGGTCACTAACATTGCAGCTTATTATCCTGGGACTGTCAGACCCTTACCTGTTGTTGTTAGTTGAACCAGAGTGTGAACCTCTTGGAAGTCCCTTCCCACGTGGAGGACACTCACATCCTGGGTTCCGTGAGTGAGGAGTGAGTGAGGTCCTGTAGGAGTGGGTGGCAGGAAACTTGGGATTAGATCATCAGATCAATTTTGCATTTGTCTGAGGACCTGACTATTGTTGTGAGGACCTGGAGCCCGTTTCACAAAGCCCTGTTACCGGTACGACCTCGTAAAGCAGGTCGTAGACCACCTCTTACTTTTTTACCCCGTTTCACAAAGCCCTCTTACCGTTACGACCTCGTAAAGCAGGTCGTAGACCACCTCTTACTTTTTTACCCTGTTTCACAAAGCCCTGTTACCGGTACTACCTCGTAAAGCAGGTTGTAGACCACCTCTTACTTTTTTACCCCGTTTCACAAAGCCCTGTTACCGGTACGACCTCGTAAAGCAGGTCGTAGACCACCTCTTACTTTTTTACCCCGTTTCACAAAGACCTCATATTTTTACACTGTGCCGTAAACAGCCCAAAATTTAGGACCCTGATTGACCTGTCGTAAATGCTTTAGGAGGTCGTAAATACTACAAAGATGGCGTGAACGATTATGGTACTGCAAGTGATTAACACGAGCAAACAAAGAAGACCTAGAATATTTAGAGACAGGTCGACCGTGCTCGACACACTGGATGACATGATGTCGAGATATAGATTTCCTAGGCACGTTATTTTCGAACTGTCTTTCTGAAACGGTCGTAAAGGAGGTCGGAATAAGGTCGTAAATAAGGTTGCATGGGCTACGACCTCCTAAATTTTGGAGGCTTTTGTGAAACGCGGTACTGGCTTTTGGGTGAGGACTTGGCTCACAGTTCCTTGATGTTTTGGCTATTAGCATTTCAAAATTACATTCCATGCAATGATGTAACTCTGATGAACACCTTTTTCTCTTTGATGGTCATGAAACAAAACATGTTACAGTAGGTATGTCTATGGTATTAAAACTTAAAATTGGAAGATTTTTTAGACTCTGGGCTTGAATATTGGTCCTGGAACTGTTCGATTATCCTTAGAAGCTCATCCTTGGTGCGGGGCGGTGGGGTAGCCTAGTGGTTAAAGCATTCGCTCGTCACTCCCGAAGACCCGGGTTTGATTCCCCACATGGGTACAATGTGTGAAGCCCATTTCTGGTGTCCCCTGCCTGTGATGTTGCTGGAATATTGCTAAAAGCGGCGTAAAACCAAACTCACTCACTCACACATCCTTGGTGCATATGTATTTCCTAGAACATTGTAATGCAGGCTTAAGACATACTCATTGATTCTTTCACTTTGCTCTTCAGGCCCAGGCTAACCTGAATGAGTCAAGTCAGAAGATCGACCTGATGCGGATCTCCCTGGAGAAGCGCCTGACCGAGATGGAGCCGTCCCCGAAGGTGCAAATGCTACAGGAGGAGATCAACCAGCTCCTGCACCCCACCTACCACGGGGTGCGCTCATCAGTCAATAACAAGCAGCACAACTCTTCCCTGGCCAAGGCTGCTGCTGTCACAGGCAAGCTGGAAGTCAGGTGGGTGGACATGCTTGTACCGACATGTAGCTCTAACTGTTGAGAGTGTCAAAAAAGGGGAGTGTCGTAAAGGTTGCAGTGTCAACTGTGCCATCTGCTGGTGTAGGTCTGAATTGAGCACCAGCCTGGCAGAGTTGTCGGTGAAAACTGAGGATCAGATGGATGCCCAAATACGAAACCCTTCTACATGACAATAATAAACATGCATTGTTATCCTGCTTGAGATACTGTGACCTACTACAGATCTATGCTATAGATGCCCTGCTACAACTGCCCTGTTATAGATACCTGCTGTATCTGACAGCTACATTTGATCTACTACAGATCTGTTATAGATGGCCTGCGACAATTAATGTACTGTTAATGAAATACTACACTTGACCAACTACAGATCTGTTGTAGATGCCTTGCTAAAGATGCCCTGTTATAGTTGACCACTGTGACCAGCTACAGATATGTATATTCCCAGCTACAGTTGACCTAGTACAGATCTGTATGTGCCCTGCTACAGTTGACCTAGTACAGATCTGTATGTGCCCTGCTACTGTTGACCTAGTACTGATCTGCATGTGCCCTGCTACAGTTGACCTACTACAGATCTGTATGTGCCTAGCTACAAATGACCTACTACAGATCTGTATGTGCCCTGCTACAGTTGACCTACTACAGATCTGTATGTGCCCTGCTACAGTTGACTACTACAGATCTGTATGTGCCCTGCTACAGTTGACCTACTACAGATCTGTATGTGCCCTCCACAGTTGACCTACAGATCTGTATGTAACCTGCTACAGTTGACCTATGACAAATCTGTATGTAACCTGGTACAGTTGACCAACTACAGATCTGTATGTGCCCTGCTACAGTTGACCTACTACAAATCCATGTTATAGATTGCCTACTACTGTTGCCCTGTTATAGTTGACCCGCTGTATGTGCCCTGCTACTTTGTGACCTGCTGTATGTGCCCTACTACAGTTGCCCTACTACAGATCCCTGTTACTTGTGTGCAGGTTGGTGGGTGTAATTAACCCACTGTATGTGCCCTGCTACAGTTGCCCTACTACAGATCCCTGTTACTTGTGTGCAGGTTGGTGGGTGTAATTAACCCACTGTATGTGCCCTGCTACAGTTGCCCTACTACAGATTCCTGTTACTTGTGTGCAGGTTGGTGGGTGTAATTAACCCACTGTATGTGCCCTGCTACAGTTGCCCTACTACAGATCCCTGTTACTTGTGTGTATGTTGGTGGGTGTAATTAACTCACTGTATGTGCCCTGCTACAGTTGCCCTACTACAGATCCCTGTTACTTGTGTGTATGTTGGTGGATGTAATTAACCCACTGTATGTGCCCTGCTACAGTTGCCCTACTACAGATCCCTGTTACTTGTGTGTATGTTGGTGGGTGTAATTAACTCACTGTATGTGCCCTGCTACCGTTGCCCTACTACAGATCCCTGTTACTTGTGTGTATGTTGGTGGGTGTAATTAACTCACTGTATGTGCCCTGCTACAGTTGCCCTACTACAGATCCCTGTTACTTGTGTGTATGTTGGTGGGTGTAATTAACTCACTGTATGTGCCCTGCTACAGTTGCCCTACTACAGATCCCTGTTACTTGTGTGTATGTTGGTGGGTGTAATTAACCCACTGTATGTGCCCTACTACAGTTGCCCTACTACAGATCCCTGTTACTTGTGTGTATGTTGGTGGGTGTAATTAACCCACTGTATGTGCCCTGCTACAGTTGCCCTACTACAGATCCCTGTTATTTGTGTGCAGGTTGGTGGTTGTAATTAACCCACTGTATGTGCCCTACTACAGTTGCCCTACTACAGATCCCTGTTACTTGTGTGCAGGTTGGTGGGTGTAATTAACCCACTGTATGTGCCCTACTACAGTTGCCCTACTACAGATCCCTGTTACTTGTGTGCAGGTTGGTGGGTGTGCAGCAACTGCTGGAGGACATCCCGACCCGGAGAAAGGACAGCTTGCAGCTGATGATGTCCAGTCCGGGGGAGAGTCGCAGCCTGCTCCGCCGCGGCAGCAGCAAGACCTACAACATCAAGGACGACCTCACAAGTGTGTACATAACCCCCAAATCATAGTGGTGCAAAACACTGTGTTATATCACAAGTATCAGTGTGACTTTCACTTAGAATACACACCCAAATGTTGTGTTATCTCACCTATTCTTATGAATAGTCTTCAGGAAAGTAACCTGAAGTATGAAAAAACTATGAGGTGTGAAAAAAACCCAGGAACTATGAAAAAATGTAAACTACAGTTGTCACGAAGTCAACTTGAACACTAATTTTTGTTTGTTGTAACAGGAGTATATCTGTCAGTTTGTTATAACAGGAGTTTGTTATAGCAGGAGTTTGTTATATGCATTTCCTCTTTTCTATGATGAAATATGCAGCAGTTTGTTTTAACAGGAGTTTGTTATAACAGGAGTTTGTTATAGCAGGAGTTTGTTATAACAGGAGTTTGTTATAGCAGGAGTTTGTTATAACAGGAGTTTGTTATAGCAGGAGTTTGTTATAACAGGAGTTTGTTATATGCATTTCCTCTTTTCTGTGATGAAATATGCAGCAGTTTGTTATAAGAGGAGTTTGTTAATGCATTTCCTCTTCTGTGATGAAATATGCAGCAGTTTGTTATAACAGGAGTTTGTTATAGCAGGAGTTTGTTATATGCATTCCCTCTTTTCTATGATGAAATATGCAGCAGTTTGTTACATCTGTCAGTTTGTTGTAAGCGAGTTCATTGTAAACTTAGTCTACTGTATTAAAATACTTTGAAATTTGCATGAAAATCCAGTGAGTATGGGTGACTGATGTGTTGTAGATGAGGTGATGGCAGTGTTGAAGCTGGACAACGTCTCGGTGGGGCAGACGTCATGGAAGACGTGCAGCCAACAGTGCTGGGACAACAGATACACCATCGACCTTGACCGGGTATGCAGTAAAGCTTGTGTTGAATTATCGCTGCTGTAGGACACTGACTGCTTCACTGATTCAAGTAGCAGTTCTTTTACATGTGAATCAGATGACTCTTTGATTGGTGGTTGTAAATGTTTGACTTTTTTGGAATCATGGTGTGCGATATGATGCTCATGATATTAACCACTGTTTGTTGATCTCTTAATTGTTACACATACTATAGTCCGTTTGGCTCAAAAGCGGACCGATGAATTGCAATCTAACTCGAAAACTAATAAACAGAAAATACTCAATGAAACGCTGATCATAATCAAAACGTCAGACCAACTCTGTGAGGTTTTTGCAGAATTTATGTCCTAAAAATTAAAAAGTTGGTGTTCGAGACGGCACAGCACAGGTTGATGAATCAATAACTTTGTCGGTACTTGTGCACGTGCTTCTCTAACACCTGGCTGTCCCTTTCTCTGCACTCCTCCCTCGTAACAAATAGTGAACTGTGCCAATATTTTAATGATAGTTTGTTAAACAACTCTTTTAATTTTAGGACATAAATTCTGCAAACTAATCACAGAGTTGGTCTGATGTTTTGATTATGATCAGCATTTCATTGAGTATTACATGTTTATTAGTTTTCGAGTTAGATTGCAATTCATCGGTCCGTTTTTGAGCCAAACGGACTATAGAATCTTATTGAATAAACAGCCTATCATGGTAGATGTTTCATCAATATTGTCACTCAACATTCGTTTCATTTTGTGTTGTTTATTGTTTCAGTCGAGGGAGTTGGAAATTGCAATATTCTGGCGAGACTGGCGGCAAATGAGTGCATTAAAATTCTTGAGATTAGAAGACTTCTTAGACAACCAGCGCCATGGTATTACAATACACCTGGAGCCACAGGGCATTCTCTTTGCTGAGGTAAGTCACATAGCTACCTTCTTGTTGTCTCTCACAAAGTTTAACATGGTCTTGGTTTTTGTGATTGACATTGTGCAGAGGTCCTCTGTCAGTATTAAAAGGTTTTATATGCCCAGAATCTCTATATTTTGTATACTGTGAAGCAATAAAATATTTAAGGTACAGAAAAGATGGCCTGGTCTGATTTTAAAACTAAGCATGGCCTTGCCCAGTAAGCAATAGGTCTGATGTTTTACTGATATCTTCAGAGCACTTCAGGAGTATAAAGGAGTAGACATTGAAAAACACTGGACTGAGTAGCATTCCTATTTAGACCAGGGGCTAGCCTAGTGGTTAAAGCGTTCACTCATCACGCGGAAGACTCGGGTTCTATTCCCCACATGGGTACAATGTGTGAAGCCCATTTCTGGTGTGCCCCCTCCTTGATATTGCTGGAATATTGCTAAATCAACTAAACTCCCTCACTCACTCACCTATTTAGACTACTTTTGGACTATTACCAGGCTGCTACTTTTACCATTAGGTAGTCGGCAACCCTGAAGCTTGACTAGAGAAAATATACCTTTTTCATCACTATCAGTGAAAGTATTTAGATTATTCCAAGAGTCTGATCCTATTTCAGGGAGTAAAGTACCTCCTTTGTTGTTCCAAGTGGGTAAATGGAGGGTTACTTTTAGTAGTGTAGGTAGAGCTATATTGAAAGTGAATTCCAAGTATCTAGACTTTGACCTCTCTTTTATCTTAGGTTGAAATTGGGAATATTTCTGTGAATGGTTAGATATAAATGTCACTGTTTGTTTCAGATTAAGTTTGTTAACCCCACATTATCAAGGAAACCCAAACTACAGAGACAGAGGAGAATATTCCCCAAGCATAAAGGTCAGTACCCTCTGATGTAGGTGTGGGTGGTGGAGAAGATACTGTATAGTCCGTTTGGCTCAAAAGCGGAACGATGAATTGCAATCTAGCTCGAAAACTAATAAACAGAAAATACTCAATGAAACACTGATCATAATCAAAATGTCAGACCAACTCTGTGAGTTTTTTTGCAGAATTTATGTCCTAAAAATAAAAAAGTTGTTTAACAAACTATCATTAAAATATTGACACAGTTCACTATTTGTTACGAGGGAGGAGTGCAGAGAAAGGGACAGCCAGGTGTTCAAGAACGGATGGAGACGGCACAGCACAGGTTAATGAATAAATAACTTTGTGAACGTGCTTCTCGAACACCCGGCTGTCCCTTTCTCTGCACTCCTCCCTCGTAACAAATAGTGAACTGTGTCAATATTTTAATGATAGATTGTTAAATAACTTTTTTAATTTTAGGACATAAATTCTGCATACAAATCACAGAGTTGGTCTGACGTTTTGATTATGATCAGCGTTTCATTGAGTATTATATGTTTATTAGTTTTCGAGTTAGATTGCAATTCATCGGTCCGCTTTTGAGCCAAACGCACTATAGATGGAGCATCATGATGTAGACTCTGTAATGGTTTGTCAGCCCCTGGGTTTATTCCTTATTGAGTGGGTGATCTGGTAGCCTTGTGGTTACAGTGTTTGTCATATCAAAGAGCCAGGTTTGATTCCCCACATGGGTACATTGTGTGAAGCAAATTTCTGGTGTCCCTGCCGTGATATTGGTGGAATATTGCTGAAATCGGCATTAAATCATAGTCACTCACTCTCTTTTGGGGAACAGTGGGCATCTCTAGATGTATAAGTGCTCCTGTGTGAAGCCAGTTCTGATGTAGTCAGTGGGTGAAGCCAGTTCTGATGTAGTCAGTGGTGAAGCCAGTTTCAGGTGTACACTTTGTGTGAAGCCATTTTGTGGAGTCACATTGTGTGAAGCCAGTTTCTAGTGTACACAATATGTGAAGCCAGTATGGAATGGTACCCTGCTGTGATATCACAGGAATATTAAACCTGTTTGTTTAAACTGAGTGGAAACACATACTTAAACACACTGTTTTCATGGAAGGATACAGGAGAAACTAGGGTGTATGAGCAAACAATATCTGAAGCTAGTTCCAGTATTTCTGTGAAAATGCCAGGGCAACTGCTCAACTGCTCACTGACTCAATTCTGATTTGACAAGAAGCCAATGAGAAACATGCTCTAATGGTGGAACAATGGAGTCGTATCGTTACTGTTGGAAATTGGTTTGTGTAGACCAGTTGAGGAAGGTGTAGCTACACTTATAAGAAATTTTGTAGACATGATGTTGAACTGGTGAACTTTCAGGCAAGAACTTCCTTCGTCCGGGACAGATGAACATCAATGTAGCGACATGGGGCCGGCTGATGAAGCGGTCGCTACCAGCTGGCGGGGAATCCAACAGCCATGAAACACCTACACAGATCACATCACCAGGTGAGCTAAATCATTGTCACCAGGTGAGCTCAATCATTGTCACAGGAGAGCTAAAACATTGTCACTATGTGGGCTAAAATATTGTCACCAGATGAGCTCAATCATTGTCACAGGTGCAGTGTTCCCGTGGTTTTGAAAATTACCGGGCGGCTTATGCCGACGGGTCTGAAAATTCGGCTGAACTAGTTTTTATCCGAGAGACAAATTAATCAGTAATCGCGAACGATATACTGTAAATAAATGTGTTGAAAAGTCTGCCGTGACGAAGTTGCTTGTTTTTCGAGAATGCTCATTAGACCTACAGCGCCCTGACAAAAGTATTCGCGATTTGGCATATATAGCCGTTCGTCTCGTATTTTGTCACAATCAGAAAATGAAAGCGGTCCAACTAAATTCGATAAATGTGTTCAGAATGTCATTCGCTATCTAAATGACTATGAAATGTGCAAATAATTAGTGTTTATATACCTGTGGTGAATTTCACGTGTTGAAAACGAAGATTCTCGGACACATGCTTCGGCAGCGGGTCCACAATAACATTGTCAAAGAGCAAAGTAACGATGTTTCGAGGAACTCATTAAATAAATTGAATAAACTAATGAATAAAATCAACAACATTCATAAAAGTTGAACATATAAAATTACTATTTTCCATGTTTTTGTGCGATCATGTAATGTAAGTCAAGTCACTGACAACTGACATCTCGGCTCTCGCCGCCTCAATCTTCACGCTCGGACACGATGTTTAATGCGAAAATATATACATGAAGCATTTTTGTCACAGGTCATAACCTAGCACGATACGTCCAAAAAGTTCCATAATTTACGTATAGGTAGCGATTTCTTGCTTAATATGTTCAGAATAGCATTATTTTACCCAAAACTTCTGTCTAAATCTAAAAGTTTTCGTTTACGAGGACGGAATCCATTGCTGTAATATGATTGGCTGCTTTAGGTCACGTGTCAGATTTTGACCAATTACGACCCTTATAGCAGACTGTGGCGAAAAAGCGTCATTAGAAACCAATCTTTATCCAATAAAATCGCTTCTTACAACTGTGAAAAAACTATAGAGTCTATATTGAGATTTGGGATTGCCACCCTAGTTTTCAATATACGTTTGCATAATGATCTTAAGAAAACAAAGAATAAACAAAGATGTTATCTGCAAGTTTATTAAATCTGCCGATAAACGGCATCTTTAAGCAATACAAAATTTACCGGCGGCAGCTACCGACGGCAGTTGAAAATACCGGATCTTCACAATTTTTATCGGTAAAAATCCGGTAATTACCGGAGAACGGGAACACTGCGTAGGCCTAAACAGAATCTCACAAATTATGTTGTTGATAATATGTTATATAACCTACTGTGATGACATTAACTTTAAGTGTGCACACACAATTCACAAAGTTACGTCCAAGTTATAGACGCTTCAAAATTACCTTCAATATTTAGTTAATGATGAGCAACTTCTATGATCTATAGGGTCAGTAAGGTAGCCTTGTGGTTAAAGCGTTCACCCGTCACGCTGAAGACCCGGGTTCGATTCCCCGCATGGGTACAATGTGTGAAGCCCATTTCTGGTGTCTCCCACGGTGATATTGCTGGAATATTGTTGAAATTGGTGTAAAACTATCCTTACTCACTGATCTAAATGGTTAGTCAGGCTAAAAGTAATGGTGATGTGGTGGGACCTGTGTGTGTTCAGGTGTGTTCACAAGTCAGGTGTGTCTCCTACAGGTATCACATCAGCGGACCGGGGTCCACCAGTTCAACAGATAAACTTCTCACCCCCGATGCCGGAGAAGCAGCCAGTGGTTATAGAAGATTCTCACCCCAGATCACCAAAAGATGTTCAAAAAGAGACAGATATCGAGGTAGGGATGTCAAAGCTGTTGACTCTGTGTCATCAGACATAACTCTTCGAGTAATTAAAAGCCCATGATCAGTTTACTTACTTTGTCTGTAATAACTGAAGAGACATTATTGCAAAGTTCTGCACAGATATACTACAGATTTAGATGTAGAAATCATGTTCTACTTTGAAGCTGGCAACATCCATTCCAAACTATGCTTTGAAAAGTATATTAAAAAACTGAATTAAAATATTAAATATTGAACTGAAAAACATTCTGTAATGTATGTTTAGCAATACCTCCAGTAGGCTGTGGAGAGTCTCTTCCGTTTAAATGTTTGTCCTATTGAAGTGAGAGTTTGAAATGTCTCGTGTTAATCGAGGTTGCATTATTAGAAAGCACATTCAGAGCTTGGGAAATGTAATCGAAGTTCTGATTGGTCGTATTGAAGGATATGTATGATCTGAACCAGGATATCGTCAGATTTTGGCATAGCCGAGAGTGCACCATCACTCAATCACTCACTCGCTCGCTCCATGATTCCAGAACGCACTGTCTACCTTCAACTTCCTTCCGGAGGACCCTCTCTCTCCCAACACTTCCGGCACCGTGGTGGACCTGGACAAGGTACCTGAACGCCGGGCTTCACGGGGGTCAACAAAGAGTTACCGGGCCCCCTCACCCCCCACTCAACCTCCTCCACTGCCTGCTCACACAGAGGAGAGAGTCAAACCACCACCTCCACCTCGGAAGAAGGAACCCGAGTGAGTTGACCACATGTGTTTTTGGTTTGTTATATTTTTGTATGAAAGTCTTGTTCAGTAGTGTCCTTGTCTGTCAAAGGGATTAGAATTATGATTATTCCATTGGCCCATATCACTGCCACAACGTTTGAACTTAATTCTATTAGCACAAGCCTATAGTAGCTTGCCATGGGAGACTTCTGTTATATGCAATGTAGTGTTGGGAATTGGTTTAAATCTCATAATTGATGATTGGTTCATTACAACCGATCAATCATCGAAAATAATTGGTTAGCGTCATTTATTAAATTTTTCTGGTTATGTTTGTTAATGCACAAAAAATAAAGAAAAAAACATGTAGTTCTTTCGTCTTTTTGCAAATTGCACAAAATGCATTTGCAAATTTCACATCTTTAAAGGATGACTAGTATGTAAGGAACATGAACTTCACGGAGTCTTTAAAATAAATTCAATCATGAATTGGAAGAGCTTGTAGTGCTAATGAAATGTAACAGACAAAACCAACCTTGTGAAAAATATCGTTATTGCAAACAAGTGTCCCAAAATTGTTTGTGTTCGATTATGAGAAAACATGATCGATTGATTGGTCGTTTTGTCATTGCGACCAATCTTCGATTATTTCAATTAATCGGACCACCACTAATGCAATGGGTGAGATAAGTATCCAATACTTCATATGTAATTTGCGTTATTTCATTTAAGATTATTTTTGTGCTTGTAACACATAATTCCACTTGACCTTCCAATTAATAATCTTTATAATCTTAAAAATATCAAAAGCCATAAAATCTTTCAGGACCAGAGTACAAAACAACTGTAGACAACTGTCGTAAGTCTATGTTAAGGTATGGGAGATATAGAGGTGTGACGATACGGAAATGTCACGATACGATACGTATCGCGATATCTTGGAACAATACGATACGATTCGATTCATATCACGATATGCTATCTTTCGTTATTTTCTTTAAAAAAGTATATTTTGATAGCAAGTAACAGTGTACATTTTTACATAACCGTCAATGTCTAGTGAACATTAACAATTTTAAGGTCAACGATTCATATCACGATACGAACAAAAGTATCGATTTATTTATCATCAGATAAAGTATCACGATTATCGATACTACGATATATCGTCACAGCTCGAGGGAGATACGATCACATTATGGCTAAGATCGTACAGCAGCACCCAGTTAATTACAAGTGATCACTAGTCCTTGAGTCCAGAGCACGAAACATCCAGTACTGTTTCTCTATATTGTATGAATGTACTGTCAACTTTTTCTCTTGTTTTCAGTTTTGCCAACCAACCATGTAAAATGTCCGAGTTCAGATGTATCAGTGTTTTGGGGAGAGGTCACTTTGGAAAGGTTTGTAGTTCATAAAATGCAAATATTGATTCTGAAGTCATTAGTGATGTCTTCATGGACAAACTTACCCATTTCAGAAGTTTTTGAGACCCATTACCTCATAAGAAATATTTAACTTAACCCATAATCAACTGCTGAAAATACCACAAAAACTGTAGAACTGTAATAGTTAGTTATTAATGTGTTACCATCTGATTTCTCTTGTAGGTGCTGTTAACAGAATACAAGAAAACTGGTGAATATTTTGCAATAAAAGCGTTAAAGAAGGGTGATATCATAGCACGAGACGAAGTGGAGAGTTTAATGTCCGAGAAAAGGATCTTCGAAGTGATCAACGCGACACGGCATCCCTTCCTTGTCAATTTATTTGCGTGTTTCCAAACAGAGGTGAGTTGTGTTTGTAATAAATGTTTTAGACTGCTAGTTGTGATGAGATAGCTGAACTCACTACCGTGATAACACTATAAGGGTTTGAACACAGCATTCCCCCATCATCCTTCAACAGGAAAGGGTAACCAATGAATTTTGTCGAAAGGCTGGTGTCAAGAGGTAAACCAATGCTCAGGTCAATGGGGACACACATTTCTTCCCACAGTCGCAGTTGTTTCTTGCTTGAAAATTGAACCACTTGCCACAGTTCTCTGGTATCTTCTCAACATGCTGCTTCAATGTCAGGTAGTGATGGGCAGTAGGGTAGCCTAGTGGTTAAAGCGTTGGCTCGTCACGTCGAAGACCCGGGTTTGAATCCCTACATGGGTACAATGAATGATGCCCATTTCTGGTGTCGCCTGCCGTGATGTTGTTGGAATATTGCTAAAAGCGACGTAAAACCAAACTCAGTCAGTCAGTCAGGTAGTGATAGGTTTTGCAGGATCTTCCCTTCCATGATAATTGGCAACCTTGGCCCTGTTGCACAAAGCATTGTTAGTGCTGCAAGTATAGTAAGCTTATGTTAATTTATAGGTGTTACAGACACCTTAACACTAAATCAGCTTTGTGCAGCTGTGTTCAGTGTATGTGGAACTAATGTTTCGCTCTTGAACTGTCTGCAACATGCGATATAGCCTTGTGATATCTGCTCAACACATTGCCTTCGAGGGAATACTTAGCTTCACACAGAATACATGGATGGATTAAGGCTTATTTGACTTCTGTTAGTTATAGACAGGCTCATTTGTTGGTTCACCAAATACCTGCCTGATCATTACACCTTGTAGAGACTGTAATGGAGATCAGTTAGGAACGTCATGTATACATATCCTTAGGGTATTGATAATGATTTCTCATTCGATTGATCAATAATATGCATGATTGCATGAACACGCTTATCTTTGTTTATAGTTGTTTAACGCTGCACTAAGCAATATTCAGCTATATGATGGCTGTCCCAGTGTTCACGAATGGTGTTTCAAAGTAACAGGACTTTCGGTCCTGTAAGTTTCAGATGTCTGTCTGACCCGTTGAAAATTCACAGGACCCATACCATAAAATTAAACACACATTTCAGATTTAATATTTCTTATATTGGCATTGAAATTATTAACAAACATAAGATTTATAAACAACAAACAAGTGTCACATGTCACATATAACAACTTCAGTCAAAGTCATTGTGAAATATACAGTCAGACACTGGGGCCGGAGGGTTGTAGATTTCTATCCGACCGTTGGTGAATCTGCCGGATTTGTCAGAGGGTCAGACGCTATTCGTGAACACTGCTGTCCGTAAACAATCGAGTCTGGACCAAACAATCCAGTGATTGACATCATGAGCATCAATATATGCAATTGGTATATGATGACATCTGTGAACTAAGTCAGCGAGCCCGACTATCCAATCTCAATAAGTCCACTGGATCGATTTTAACCTGGATCTTCACAGCTTTCCTCATTTTTAACCACAGTGTGGAATTACCCGTGAAGATCCGGGTTAGAATATTGATCTTCAGTAACCCATGCTTGTTGTAAGAGGCGACTAACGGGATCGGGTGGTAAGGCTCGCTGGCTTGGTTGACACATGTCATCGGTTCCCAATTGCGCAGATCGATGCTCATGATCACTGGATTGTCTGGTCCAGACTCGATTATTTACAGACCGCCGCCATATAGCTGGAATATTGCTGAGTGTGGCGTAAAAAAACTAACTCACTCACTCACCGTGTGGAATTATGGGACGTAATTATTGCATGTTTTTGGGTTGCAGGAACACGTGTGTTTTGTGATGGAGTATGCATGTGGCGGGGATCTCATGATGCACATACACAACGATGTGTTCTCCGAGAACAGGACGGTGTTCTACGCAGGCTGTGTGGTGTTGGGCCTGCAATATCTTCACGAGCATAATATTGTTTATAGGTAAGTCATATTTACATAGCTTGGGAAAGACAGTCTGGTATTTAGAGTTCAGAAGTAATATTAATGTACATGCAATTAATATCTTGTCTGCCCTGGTAAAGATCATTCGATAAAAAGACTGTAGGGTGTCGAAGCTTAACAACCAATCAGATACTTTGTACTGCGGAGTTATGGACTTTTAACACCATGTGATTGAAAGCATTGCCCTCATTGGTCTGTATAGTCTTGCTGTAGAATCCACCACATATCTGGTGCATAAACAAATTGTTTTCTACATCTTTGTATCAAAATTTCGTGAGGACACACACAATAGTGTAATTTTAAACTTTAATTGATATCTGCTATGACACAATCGCAATGGTTGGCATGTCTGTGGTAGTCGAAAAGCAAATATCACTTGACCTTCGTTTCTTTTACTAGTCACTGACTTGTGGACCATTGTTAATTGGAACACTGATGAGCATTGTATTGTTTGGGACAATTTTCTGATTGTTCTTTCAATCCAATGCACAATATGTTTAAAATAGTGAATCATTACTTGGTGAAAATGTTTCATTATCTAAAATTCAAATCGCTTCTCTGTTTCAGGGATTTAAAACTTGATAACTTACTACTAGATACTGAAGGCTACTTAAAGATAGCTGACTTTGGCCTGTGTAAGGAGTCCATGGGTTTTGGTGACAGGACAAGCACGTTCTGTGGTACCCCAGAGTTCCTGGCCCCAGAGGTGCTGACCGATACCTCGTACACCCGGGCAGTGGACTGGTGGGGTCTTGGAGTTCTCATATATGAAATGCTGGTCGGAGAGGTGGGTAGCTTGCATGTTCTTGAATGTTCTTGCATGTTCTTGAATGTTCTTGAATGTACTTGCATGGCAGGGCCCAGTTCCATGAAGACGTCATAGCTCTAAGATTGCTTTTTGGAAAAAAGTCCTGAAATTTTCCTATTCAGGAGTGACAATGTCTACTTGAGAAATTCAATGAGGAAATTATGTTTCCAGATCGGTTGGTAATCAACAAATAATTCAGAATATCAGGATCTTTATGTGGTCCGGTGACAGGAGTTCTAATGTTACACAGTTTTGGGGGGACAGGTGCCCTGGTTGTCTGCCGTGGGCAATTCACCATTAAGAGTTGTGTACCTTAGGTGTCGCAGGATTTTATGATCGTGTCTCTGCAACCAAGGTTCATTTTTGGTTCGCTGAGATCATGCCTTGTTTGTTGATTTGGATAATGGTGACTGTAATAATAATCGAGTCTGAACCAGACAATCCAGTGATCATCAACATGAGCATCGATCTAAGCAACTGGGATACAATGACAGGTGTCAAACCAAGTCAGCGAGTCGGACCACCCGATCCCGTTTGTCACCTCTTACGGCAAACATGGGTTACTGAAGACAATATTCTAACCCGGACCTTCACGGGATCTTCACGCTGTGACAGCTGTGCAGCTTTGAAACAATGCTTACTCATTCATTCAGTGTTCAGAAAGTAAAAGAATATGTTTAGAAGGGTCTTTGATAGAACCATCGTGGTTTATTCATCCTGCAGTGTTCAATTTTGGGATAAACTACTCCCTCTTGTTATCGTTTACTTAAATCGGACAGTATTCAGCAGCAGGTTGCAATGTAGCGGCCATCATTGTAATGCTTCCATGTGCCATTGCAGTCTCCCTTCCCCGGTGATGATGAGGAAGAGGTATTCGACAGCATCGTAAACGAGGAGGTCCGTTATCCCCGCTTCCTGTCCACCGAGGCCATCGCTATTATGAGGAGGGTGAGTTACCATGGCAACTGGTAAAGTAACTGTGAAAAGTGTGCCCAAGCTTGTTTATGCATGTACAGTAGAACACGGATATAACGAACTCCAAGGGACCAAGAAATTTAGTTCGCTATATCAGTTGTTCGTTATTCACATTTGACCGCCATCTTGGATTGTAGAGATGTAGAGACATGTATATGCTGAGGCTACAAATCTTTATTCTTGTACATGTACATTGACATAACATTAAAATTCGAGAGTGACGAGAGTGAACGAAGACCTGTATACCAGTCAAGCTTTTGAACACGACATGTTTGTTTTGTTAATTAATTAATGACCATCAAACAATGTTGATTCGCCGCCAACAAGGTTGATGTATACCGCTAAGTGGCTGAGCTTACACTGAGTGAGTTCTCAAATCACGTCGTTAATTGGGTCTTGGGGGTAGTAAATCAGTTCGCTATAGCCGTTAATTCGCTACTCACGAGTTCATTATTCGCGTATATTTTTAATGATATTATAAAGGACTATTGACGGGACTTTTAAATTTGTTCGCTATATCCGTTTGTACACTATATCCGTGTTCACTATATCCATGTTCTACTGTACATTATAATGAATATTATTACTTTTAATAATTTTCAAGCAGATTTATTTTTATCCAAAGGTATTGACTGACAGTAACGAAGTACTTTAAGTTTTGGTACAGGGGATTATGAACCATGAAGGTCATGTACACGAGACAGCAGCTTCCATTTTGGTTTGTTTGCCACTCCTCCAACCATGTTTCAAGCTGTTCCTTTCCTGTTCAGTTGCTGAGACGGAATCCTGATCGTCGTCTGGGCTCAAGTGAACGAGATGCAGAAGATGTCAAGAAACAGGCTTTCTTCAGGGTAAGAATTTCCTGACAACATATCTGATATATTTCCATGATAGATGGCATAAGTCAGTGTTTTCAGTTTCTGATCACTCAGGATACGGAATATAGATGAATAATTGCTTTATTACAATATTGAAGAATTCTGATGACTAGATGACTTGAATACTGACAGATATTTTTATTTTCCCTCATTCCCAAGAGTCCCATCAGGGAAGATTGAGGTGTTCGGGAGTGGCTCCACCTTCGACCTGGAAAGGGTTTTTTCGAACCCTTTGATAGTCCCCCTGCACTTCTCTCCCTTGCAGTTGCGAAATGGCTGAAATATTGCCAATGTGACATTGCCATTGCCAAAATATGAACTCACTCACTTTCTCCCAGACCATGTAGTAACTGACAGCCTGAACATCGATCAACGCAGTTTGGACACAATATCGTGCATCAACCCGGCCAGCGAGCCTGACCACCTGATCCTGTTATTATCCCCCGCAACGCTTATTAAAATGGACTCCGTCCGTCCGTGCACATTTGTCTTTTCCGGAGCAGAACTCTAAAAGCATTCAATATTTCTTCACCAAACTTGGCACATACATTGATCTGGTTGTGTACTGGTGCCTTTTGGTACTTTTGGAATTCTGAATAAAATATTTTTGGCGTTTCTGTGGCAACAAGTTCGACTTAGACTGAAATTGGTGGTAGTGCTCTTTTCCTTTTCTAAAACCATTCAATATTTCTTCACCAAACTTGGCACATACATAGATCTGGTGGTGTACTGGTGCCTTTTGGTAGTTTTTGAATTCTGAATAAAATATTTTTGGCATTTCCATGGCAACAAGTTTGACTTAGACTGAAATTGGTGATAGTGCTCCTTTCAATGCTCTCCTTCCACTTTTCTATATACACACCTAAATATTTGACATAGTCATAACTCGTAGACATAATCATGAAGAGTATTTTGCCGTTGAGGGGGATATTGATGACTTTGTCTTCTTGTTTGCCTCTTGCGCTAAGCATGGGTTGCTGAAGATTTATTCTGATCCAGATCTTCACAGGTCAGCTACTAGATCTGGAAATGTTATATTTCTTTTACAGAACGTGGCGTGGAGTGACTTGTTGATGCGCAAAGTGAAGCCACCCTTCATGCCCACTGTGGTGAGTTATCTTCGTGTGTGTTTGATTAAACAGGACTCGATGGCATGACACGCTTGTCCTCATAATGGTTTTTCACCTTTTGTGAAATTTCATTGTGTAATCGGGGAATTATGTGTACTTGATGTGCATAAGTAAAAGGGAAAACATCACTTGTTCCTGTTTTCTGGTAGTGGCAGTAGCCCGAAAATTCACATTATGCTTGTATATTGCAAATAGTAAGATGCTATTAGTTGCACAAATGATTATGGATAGTTGACACTGATAGGACTTCAGTTGAAAATCTGACAATTTTTCAGCCCGACCACAATAATATGGATTTATTGCTTTGATGCTATAGGGTTATATTTTTTAATGTTATGAATGATAGCTATTGATTGTGTAGCCTGGAATGTTACTTTTGTTTACAGAAAGGAATGGAGGATGTCAGCAACTTCGACGAGGAATTCACGCAGGAAAAAGCTGTTCTGACTCCCGCAAAGGAACGTCGTCCTTTGATCACAAATGAACAGGACCTTTTCCGAGACTTCACATATATAGCAGACTGGTGCTGAGTTACCTCCCTTATTGTTGCTGCTTACCGACACTGTTATTAATACTGTCATCATAATCACCATGGTAACCGCATATCATCATCATTCTCATGGATACTAAGTGTGCTTGTTTGGGAGTGGCCAGCTTGTATGGTGGCCCCGACTCAATGTGCCGACAGATGTGTCACCTTTGACCTTTCATCAGGAACGCTGTTCACGTGGAACGGTGCTTCAGACGTAGTTTGAGCAATTCAACTCATGTGTGACAAACCGTGTTGGAGTGTTCTTGTAATCTGTATAATATAGAAGAAGCGGTATCCTTCAGAAGTATATTGATGATTGATGAACGACTGTGTTTGTAGTTCAATGAAGCCCAGTTGCCTGGGTTGAAACTCAACATTGGCCTCGCTTTGCTCAAAATGTATTATGTGTAAGTGGTACAAAGACTCTCCGAAAGTGATGAGTTAGCTGTCTTCTCTGTTCTGCTTACATTTGAAGTGTTTGGACTCTCATTCAAGGACCTGGGAAGATGGTAGGTCTTTCATGTTTGGCTGAACAGTCATGTGAAGCTTGTAGTTGTTGTAGCATATTCTCCATGATGTTCGTGTATCGATTCGGTTTGAGACTAGCAGGGTCACAAATATTGTGTGATATGTTGCCATGATAACTGTTTGTTTGCAAGACGACAGTGATACCAGATTCTGTACGGCGTCTTCTTCAGCAGCTGGTTGAAGTAGATGCTTTCAGTCACACACCTGATTATGTTAGAGGTGTCATGCTTCACAATGTGTCGCTTAACTTCACATATCCATCTGCCAATAATCTAACAGATATGTTTACCAATGAATCGATTCTTATGTTAATTCTGTATCAGGGTCTAAAGATTTATTGATTGGCTAAACTTGTCCTCTTGACTACTTAACTAGCTCCACATTCCTCTCTTGTTCCTATTATGAAAGAAAGTGCTGAATCAGATTGCATAATACTATCAGAACAAGCTTGAAGTATCCTTTCATACTTGATGACAAAAACTGGTTGATAGCTAGACCTGGGTAACCATCCACATGGAAAATGGAGAATCTCACTGAACAAAAGTTCAAATGAAATATTGGAGTCTGTATGAATCGTGTGATTCAAGTATCGCTAGGTGTATCGATACATCAGTCCTATCAAGATACATACTGCTGTAGGAGTATCATGAATCAAGTACTACTGCATAACGAAGACGTATCACTACAGTATAGTATGTATCGATATGTGAGTTAGCCTCTCGATACATTAATTCATGAGGTAACCATATTGTGGCTGTGGTGTGATGTGTGGATGTTTGAGGTAGGTGTATCTTGCCTCTGTAATGGCTGGCCTGTACTTATTTCCATGACATAATGAAATGTTCTGGTTGATTCCTGGAAAACAGAAGACCAAAGAATAAAAAGCAGCCCAAACCACACAAATGTTATCAAGTATGTTCCTTCAAGAAATAATTGGTTTTGTAAGAATCTGAAGTAAAGAAATTCTTCATTGTCCATCTTTCAGAAACATTTAGTTAATTTGTCTTGTGTCCACGAGTTACTTATTCACTTCATGAATTAATTCTGTTTCTTGACTTCTATCACTCCAACATCAATACTATAAGAGCAGTCCTAAAGGACCCATAATGTTTAAAATTTGAATAAAATTAAAATTTGATGTGTTTTAGGAGCAAATCCTTACTACCTCCAGGGTTGCCTCAGAATTAAACACTGATTATGTTTAATCTTCTTGATGAGAAACTTTGAGTATTTGAATTGTTTTCTGAATGATATAACAAAATTATCACTTTGATAGAATTTTATACACTTGAGAAAAGGGACAGTGAGGTAGCCTTGTGGTTAAGGGGTTCACTCATCACGCTGAGTTTGATTCCCCATATGGGTACACTGTCTGAAGCCTATTTCTGGTGTCCCATGCTCTGATATTGCTGGAATATTGCCAAAATGGCATAAAACTAAACTCACTCACTCATGCAATGTTGGTGTGGCATATTCTTAAATAGAAATAGTCCTTTATAGGTCAGTAGGTCATGTGGCAAGTAGGTCAGAAGGTCGTGTGGGAAGTAGGTCATGTGGCAACTTGGTTTCAGTGCAGATTTCAACTGTCGGTGGACAAGTGCACTGCCTGACCTTGACCTCTATCACTCAGTCTGAACTGGGTCATTGTATTTCCAAGGATGCTCAAAACAGCAATATCCCTATTAGGGGTATATGCAGAAATACTTGATGCACGGGAAGAGGCAAGACTCACAGACTCAGATTGTGGTGTTCCATCGCTGATTGATAGCCTGTAAATACTTGAATGAAAATAAAATGAATTAATTTAATTGTAAGTTAAAAATTCAAAATGTGTTTTCACAAATACTTAAATGTTGAGGAACATTAATCAATAAGCTTGAAAAATAGGTCAGTTTGATTTAGTTGGTGTGAATGAAATGTGAAGACTTTAGATTAAATTGGGGAGTAATATTTAGGAAAGATAGTTTTACTGATAAACAGTTAACCGGGATCTAGAATATACAGTAAGAAAACAATAATTGCCAAATATTGCAGTTACTCACATAAACTGAAAGAGAACTGTAGACATTAATTTGAAATATTCTCTTGGCATAAATAACACATAGATTCATAGATAACATTGTAGGTTATTTGGTTAATGTGGAACCAGATGGTTCAAATAACAGTTTAGTATAATTAGGTCAGTGAAACAACACGTCCACAGATTCGGTTTAAGATGAATATAAATTTAACAGGTAACAATCTTTACATTGAATAAATAAGTTAAGTACATTCATACAGGTCCCATGTCACACAGACATTGATGACAGACTTTATCGGTAATGGCGGAAAGTCCTGACCCCAAACTGCCTGTATTTGGCTCATTGTTGCAATATCTTTCTCTTGAATCCTGACATATGCAAGTACTGTATATTTGCCTTCCAGTGATGCAATCTGGACTTATATTTTTTATATGTAGCTTTTGGTTTTGGAGACCTATTTTGTCCAAGTGCTATTACGTTTAATGCAACTCGGCAGTGAATCGGTTTCATCCCATATGTTTCCTCTTCAGGGATATTTCATGCAAATAAACTAAGTGCTATTGTTTGTATTACATGCTCGTGCTGGTGATCTTCTTTACATTGCATTCCGCCACTTTTATTTTTGCATCCTCGTGAAGACATCACTTGTAACATATCTGTATCTTGAAGTCTGAATGTCATGTTCTGAACGTGGGAGTCATGAGCCATTTTGATAGGTGCTTGTACATTTCTAATGCTTGTTTCATCATTCATCGTCCATGAGGCAAACAAGCCCTATTTCTAAGGTTTTCTGAATAAGTGTGAAATATAGATTCAGGAGAGTATTATACACAATGTATAATTATGAAGCAAATCTGACAATGTACCCATCTAAAATCTGAACTTGATATTCAGACACATTGATTCAAGAGAGTTTTATGTCTATTTAGTTGTACATTATAATTTTATGTTATTGTCCTGTCACTTGAACATTGTATATATTCCATGCACTCATAACACTCAAAGTATTATATCATCCAAGGTTCGCCCCTCATGGAGAAAGCAATTATGGGAGGTAACTCTTTTAAGATAGTTTTTGAAGACCATTAAAAAGAGAAACATTTAAGTACTGGCCAACAGTCCAAAAGAATATGTTTGGTGGGTTTACTTTTTTTCAGTTTTAGAAATAATTACAGGAGTATAAATGGCCAGGAATTATGGGTAAATGTTAATTGATCAGATAAATTTGATTCATCAAATTAGTTTTCTTTTCCAGTTTTTGGTTTGAAAAACTTGTCAAAAACATTGATAAATATTCATGAGCTGCCTCTCCTTATTGAACAGATGAAGATTATCATCTGCGATTCTATGTATGCATTTACTTGTAAATATATATCTTGTATATTTGTCAATGTTATGACTTAGTGCTATGGAGTTTCAAAGTTATTTTCATAGTGAGCCCCAGCTTTTGCAGTTGTGCTATTGAATGATAATCCCCAACTTACCTTCAAAAGAAAATGAATAAATTTATTAAATTTTACAACTGTTTACCCTCACTGTCCATCATAATGAATATTCTATTAAATTAGAATAAAACATAAGAAGTATTTATGTGAATTTTGTTTATCATGACACATCATACAGTGTTTTCACATTTTCACAAATTTCAAATTATGTGAATCACATTCTTATCCTTACAGAAACATGTGTTCAGTTAAGTCTCATAATGTTTTAGGAAAACCTGTGAGATCAATCGTGTCAAAGCCAAAATTTATCACTTTGTAAAATTCAGAAGCACTTAAATGTCTATTGTCAGAAGCTGACTGTTGTCGAAACTTGACTAATATTGTTCTTTTGTGGGCTACTTGAAACTGAAGAAACAATTATGCAAGATTTACTTGGTACTAAAATATTACAATTGTATGCACATCTAAGCACAAACATTATTTTTCTTTTAAAACAAACATACTAATTGAACAGATGGGTTTCGTATTTGTACAGCAACTTTAATTTATTGCATTCCTGAATACAATTATGCACGGACCTGCTCAATGATAAACACACTTGCACGTGGTAACTTTTACCACATACGGAATCTCCTAGGTTTCCTACTGTTTAATGAATGATAATTTGAAACAGTAGTAAGTTTTGTAATAATTACAACAAAGATCTGAATGATTGTATGTTTGTAACCAGATATCAGCATATATTTCAACTATACTTCTCCGATTGAATTTGATCACAAGTCATTACTACACATGTTGGTCAACATACAGTAATACAGTTGCTGCCTTGAAGAGCCTAATTTTGGGGCAGTTAAATGTTAAGGTGTTAGTATCTAGATGTATGCGCTCTTCTGAAGGTCCTAAGCTGAAAACACATGATATAAAATCTTGTCCTTTTCATTGCTGTTGAGGGTGTACAACTGGAACCTTTCAGTCCTCTGTGGGTTGTGAATTTGTGTTAAAGTAACGGAATATATATGTGAAGCTAACGTGCTAACCCCAGCATCAAGCAGTATCATTGAGGCGAGATATTTGCCCATGTGATCTTCAGGTCAGCTAACTGACAAACCATCACCAAGGATTATCAAGGCATTAAAAAAGCAGGTTGTTGCAGGAGCCCTGTCCACTAACAGCCCAGCATGTGAAACGTGTTCTGAAATTTTAGACTCTCGATTGTGATCAGGTTTCCAATGTCCAGGTGATCCATGACAACTACCTTTACTCAACTTCATCCCTTCCCTGTGTCTTGATCTTGATGGATCAAGTCACTATCAGATCTTAATGGCCTGAGACCCTCTATGGTTCATGTTATGCAAGCTGGTTCCAGCCATTAAGGATTCTCCTGGTCCCCCTAGTGGTACCTGCACGAAGGAGACTGGATGTTTCTATTCCATAAACTCCCAGTTCAATCAGGTTGTGGAAGGTCAAGAGGTACTGCGAGGGTTTGATGAGTTACTGATCAACCTCAGGCCTATGGTATTCAATGATCGGTATTGTGTTGAGAGTTTGGCGATCCCCAAGTAGGCCCCATCTTAGACTACATATGCTATGATGTACATAACAGCTTGATTTTATGATGAACATTTGCCAGAATCTGGCATGCTTATTATTGTCCAAGGAGGCTGATTTGAGTGATGGCTGTGTCAAGCAAATGTGGAAAATTCAATAAAATCATAAATCTTTTTTTTGTTTTATTTTTGTATTTTCTTTGTGGAACGGGCTGGGGTGGACCAGCTGACTAAGACACTGTAATTGAGGAGAGTGGCCCCTTTGGGCATGACAGAAACCTGGGATTTGGGGTTCGGACTCTTGTTGCCTGGTTAAGGTTGTGTTTCAAGGTTCGTCAGAACTACAGTGTATGGGGGTTCCACCAAATTGGTGAACATCTGAGACCTGAACATCTGACATTCCTTCTTCATTAACTTGACATGCACTGATTCGACTGGATTTGTGTTCAAAGCAGACTAAGTCTAAAACCCAACTCACTCTTAGAAAATACAATATGCGTTTATTTTGCTACTTTCCGAAAACAAGGAGTATCCGTATAAGTGATATTAGAATACATTGGGATGGTCGGGGTCCGAACCCACAGGGTCTTGAAAGAGCCTACTTAAGCGTGTGTCTGAGGGGCCACAGATTGCTGAAAACCTTGTGACGGTTGAAGGTCAACAGAAGATGCATCAGGACAGCTGACACCACAAAAGTGTCCCCGCACGCTGGACACTTCAAACCATGTTTGTAATAGTTGAAGCGCCAAGTCTACATTTGCACAAGACAGTCACAGGTGACCATATGTATTCCAGTAGTCTCTCGTACAGACCCTGAAGCAAACATATCCAAAAAAGCCCACACAAGTCTAGAAAATGTGGCAAGTCTAGATTTCCCCAGCTTCATGAAGAAAGTCTCAGGGCTCCTTTTCATTATATATTTTTTTTTTTACTATGAACTTTTTTCAGTAAAATATGTTCATTTCAGAGACTAGTTGTTAGTCTAGTATTCCAGATAAGCAAAATAATTCCCTTCAACAGCAGCAAAACAGACTTAGTCCAAACAATTTGTATTTTCTCATGAAATATTCATATATCCAACCGACTGACCACGGACTTAGACCACGGAAATTGCAGCAAATCTATAAAAAAAATCCAAATTCGTGAAGAAGGTATTTAAGTCACAGTGAACACAGTCACAAACATATCACATGGAAACAGGAGATTGATAGGTATTTAAGTCACATGACTGACGGACTGACTAGTTTGGTTTTCTTTTAGCAATATTCCACAACATCACGGCGGGGACACCAGAAAACACACATTGTGCCCATGTGGGGATTGATCGGTACGAGCCAACCTAGGCTACCCCACCGCCCCGCAACCTACATGAGGAGCAATGCCCAATGCTATCCTTGCTGTCTAAACTTATCGCCGCCGACCAGTTATCGTACGTGAGAGAGTTTACTTTTACGCCGCACTCAGCAATAGTCCAGATATATGGCGGCGGTCTGTAAATAATCGAGTCTGGACCAGACAATCAAGTGATCTACAGCATGAGCATCGATCAGCGCAATTGGGATACGATGGCATGTGTCAACCAACCAAGCTTGACCACCCGATCCCGTTAGTTGCGTCTTACGACAAGTATGGGTTAGTGAGGATCAATTCTGAAGGGCCAGTTATCGTAAGTACCCCATTATAGTATACGTTCGTGCTCGCTCGAGCCTCGATTGCTTGGGTTATAACGAACTCAAAAGAACCACTAACTACAGCTCGTTGTAACCAAAGTTCGTTATTACACATTTCGACTAAAATATAAAGCATTCGGGTCCCGAAATCAAAACAAAACAAAAACTCTCCAGGAAATGTATTCACGTCCATTTGGACACAACACATGATGTCACAGGATCCATAAGGCGGTTGGGTAGCCTTGTGGTCAAAGCGTTCGCTCGTCACGCTGAAGATTGGGTTCGATTCCCAACATGGTTACAATGTGTGAAGCCCATTTCTGGTGTCCCCCGCCGTGATATTGCTGGAATATTGCTAAAAGCGGTGTAAAACCTTACTCACTCACTCACTCTCCGTGAAGAACACAATGTTTCCTGGGTTTCGAACCCGTACTCACCGAGTGAGGCTTCAAAGCAGAAGGACACAAAGTCATCGCAACATGGAAGCAGGACAACTGATAGCCCAGGTCATTTGTGTACCCCTCAGGTAAACTGTCACGGCTCCCATGGCTGAAAGCTGTGAATGCACAATTCTTTTAGAAAGTGCCAAAGTCAAATGCAACAAATGTACTCTTTTGGACAACACTTTCCTAGTGCATCACTCACAAAGTCTGAGTTCGAATCCCGGCTCTGACTGAAACACTAATGGTACGAGAATTGGTAACAATTGTTATTTTTTGACCACTTCCCACAGCTTGTTCAGCTTGACCTGATCAAGTGAATACTAATGAATTGCGTGACCGTGTCACAACTGGTTGGGTCTATTATTGTGAAGGGGTGCACCTGTGTCAGATGATTGGTGTAAACCAGTGGACTGATTGTTGTGCCCATGCTGAAAATTTGGAAAGCGACTACTGGGAGTGAAATAGAAAAAGTGATATTTGAACTGGTTGTAGAGAGCGATAGCGAGAGTGAATCGGAGTCTGTAAGTTATAAAGATAGCAAACCAAACTAGATAGCATATGACTGTATAAACAATTCAATTAAAACATGACATGATTGGGTTTTTTTTTCAGAAGTGTTGTTTTCCGGGACAAATTCTGTAACGAATCTATGTATGCATGTTTCGCACGAACATAAATAACATCCTCTGCACCCCTATTTAATGAAGATAACCCGATCTGCCGTTTGTGCCATTTGACCTCCCGGGTCATGCATATGTAGAGTATTTCTGTTTGATGGCAGTGTAATTCTTTTTCAAATGTCTACTAATATGTTAAAGTGGTGCCGGAATACGGAATAGACAATGTTTTAATGATCATAATATCGTTGTAAAATGGCGGGACCAAATTTTTATGCCGGTTTTGACAATGTGCCGGATTAGACAGGTGCCGGTGTTGGCAGGTTTCACTGTATTAGTTTTTTCTAGTTTAATCAGCAAGGAAGGGTTTAGGTTTCTATCTCCACAGGTGGGGTGGGGGTGGGGGTCGGTGTGTAATGTCGCATGGCGGTGTAATGTATTCTTTAGAAATGTTGGAATTGTTACATATTGTCTCAGTAAAGATTCAACAGAAGTTCATAGCATTGTTATTTGCGTTAATTGGTTGTCAGGAATACATTACTATTTGATGTCAGCGGCAGCGTGGACGTTGCTATATTTAGATGTTTCTGGTATCAAGTGTGGTTTTGAATCATCAAGAACAACGACCCGTGAAGATCCGGGTAGAATAGGTCTTCAGCAACCCATGTGCTTGCCATAAAAGGCGACTATGCTTGTCGTAAGAGGCGACTAACGGGATCGGGTGGTCAGTTTCACTGACTTGGTTGACACATGTCATCGGTTCCCAATTGCGCAGATCGATGCTCATGCTGTTGATCACTGGATTGTCTGGTCCAGACTCGATTATTTACAGACCGCCGCAATATAGCTGGGATATTGCTGAGTGCGGCGTAAAACTAAACTCACTCACTCATCAAGAACAGCACGGATTAACCTGGCATTGTATCGAACAATCTGGAAGGTTTTAAGACTATAGTAGGAGCATCTGTCATCATATCATATTACAGCAAGATCAGCGGTTACGTGAAGATAACGATTTTCACACTAAATGTCCAGCCTTATCTAATTTTGAAGCTTGACAGCTGTTGGCGATGGGTGAATAATATGATGACTAACGTCTTTTCCATTACAACTGCTATCATATTTCATACTTAATATTTTGTTATTAATATTTGTTATTACACTGCCAATGGATTTTGTACTGTATGCATCAAGTGCTTTGCTGTTAGGCGTTTAATTTATTAATTTAATATTGCAATTGTTAATTATGTAATGTTAAAAGCAAGGTACTTTATGGGTGTCATTTAAAAAAATGTTAATTGGCTGAACATATATTTGTTGTTTTATTGTGACGATACGTATAGTCCGTTTGTTACGATACGTATAGTCCGTTTGACTTCATTTGAGACCGATGAATTGTTCACAAACGCAAAATCTAATAAATGCAACCAAACCTAATTATGCACTTGTACGTGTGAAATTGAAATTTCACTGCGCGCGCTTGTTGATTACCTGGCTGTTCGTTTGTTTACCAGCAAGTGCTCCTCTCTCGTAAGAAATAGCGAAAAGTGACAACAAAATAATGATCGTTTGTTAAACAACATTTTTATTCGGGTGTCCAAAATTATGAGACAAATCATCAGAGTTGGTCTGTCGATTTCATGTGACTGTGCAAAATATGGTTTTGTTGCATTTATTAGATTTTGTGTTAGTGAACAATTCATCGGTCTCAAATGAAGTCAAACGGACTATAACAGTTAATACATCCACAAGCCATAACATCAGTAAGTGAGTTTAGTTTTACGCCGCTTTTAGCACTATTCCAGCAATATCACGGCTGGGGGTACCAGAACAGGTCTTCACACATTGTACCCACCCACACAAGATAAATAGTGATGTAACTGGTTCTACTATTTTGACAGGAATTTGTAAATATGTCATCCTGAGTTGAGATTTGTGCAGCCATTGGCCGAATACCGATCTCAGGGTTGATCCCGATAACTCATATTGATTTATGATGCAGACAGGGACGTAGCTGCCATATAGGCAAAAAGGCAATTGCCTACACATAATTTTGCAACACACAAAAAAAGATTAAAAAATGGAAATGATAGATTTGAAAGAAAAATGTTACAGGTGAATTTATTTCAACATGCTGAAAGCACGGATATGTATGTGTAATAAATATAAACTGTTAAAATTAGTTTCACCAGAATCGATCTCATGTTTCTAAAGCAATACATGTTGGGTTCCCGAAGTCTCTTATTGAGCTTGCAGTTGCGTCCCTTTACATATAAAGGGATATAACTCTGGCAGTGATCTGGCGTAACCTCAGCATTTTGAGATGCAGAGAAAAACTTCTTACATTTTTCGGCCAAGCCTGGGGAGCCCCAATGCTCAAATAACTTTGATGAACCTGCTATTGAAACTAAAAGTCCTGTTGAATCAAGTAGTGCACCCCCATAT